GGATTACATCAGTTAGAAAGCTTTTGCACAGCAAAGGCAACAGTAACAGAGTAAAGAGACAACCTACAGAATGGGAGAATATATTTACGTACTATTTCAGATAAGAGATTGATAACCAGAATATACAAGGAACTCAAGCAACTCATCAGCAAAAACAACTAATAATCCAATAAAAAAGTTGGCAATCAGTTCAAACAGACAAATCTCAGAGGGATTTTTGGCTAAAAAGCAAAAGGAAAATGTTCAACATCTCTTCTCATCAGGGAAATGAAAATCTAAACCACAATTAGGTACTACCTAAGCCTAGGCAGAATGGCTATGATTAAAAAACAAAACAAAACAAAACAAACAAACAAACAAAAACAGATGACAAGTAAAAAGGGTGCCTCGTGCACAGCTGGTATAATTTATATTATACTAATATAAATTAGTATAGCTACTGTGGAAAACAGTATTCGAAAATCTAAAAATAGAACTATCATATGACCTAATCATCTCACTCTTAGGATTTATCCAAAGGACAGGAAATTACTCAGTCAGAGAGACATTTGCAGATTCATGTATACTGCAACACCATTCACAATAACTAAGACATGGAATCAACCTAAGTTCTCAACAACTACAACTGGCTTAAGAAAATGTAGCACATATACACAGTGGAATACTACACAGCCATAAAAAATGACAAAATTCTATTCTTTGACACAAAGTGGACAAACCTTTGAGCAATAGAAATTAAATTCGAAGCCAGGAAAAAAAGAAGTAATGAGTAGAATAGAAATCCAGAAATCAATGAACTAGAAAACAGCACAACTTTAGAGAAAAATCAATGGAACCAAAGGTTGCTTCTTTGAAAAGATTCATAAAGTTGGCAACCCCTGTAGCCAGACTGACCAAAAATAAAAAATCAGCAGTAAAAAGGGGCCATAATACTGACTGTACAGAAATTAAAAAGACTTATAAAGGAATACTATGAATAACTTTATGACAGCAAACTTAAGTGAAGTAGACAGAATCCCAGAAGGACAGAATATGCATACACACACACACACACACACACAGAGTTGTCAGAAAACTCACGATTTATTTTTTTTCTATGCAAAAATGCATCATGACTTTGCCAACAGCTATATGTATCTTCAATACACAAAGTGTTTTTAAAAAGTAGGTAGGGAACACTTCCCAACTTACTCTGTAAGCTAATATCCTCATACCAAAGCTGGACAAAGCCATCCTGCAAAAAGAAAAACTACACACCAATGTCCCTCATGAACATACATAAAAATGCTTAACAAAATAGTAACAGAGTACACCAACACGCTATAACAAGAACTATATGCATGGTCCAACGAGATTTGTCCTAAGAATGCATTAGTTTGCCAACTGAAAAATCAATTGATGTTTATGGAGCTATCAGAATAAAGGACAAGAACCATATGATTATTGAGTGGAAAATGCATTTGACCAGATCCAATAGGCATTCATGCTTTAAAAAAAAAAAAATCAAAACTGTCAACAAACTAGAAATAGAAGGTTAGTTAACTAGTTACCCTAATAAAGGTATCTATCTATATATATAAAACAAAACCCAAAGGCTTGCACCACATCTAACCATGAAGAGCTGCATGTTTTCCCTTTAAAATAAGGACAATGGCAAGGATGTCCACACTCCCCACTTAACCCAGCTGGATAGTCCCGCCAGCCAGCGCTAAGAGAGAGGAACAGGGGAGGAGAGGGGAGTGAGCAGGAAATACAGAGAGAAGGAAAGAGAGAAATTAAGAACATCAGAGAGGAAAGGAAGAAGTAATCTGTCTTTATCTGTAGATTATATGATCCTTAATTTGGGAACTAATCACAAGGGATAAACAAACAAACAAAAAGTCCACAAATTCCCCCAGAAGTATTAGAACTAGTATTTTTCAAAGTATCAGAGCAGCATATCAAAAACCAATTATATTTCTACATATCATTGACAAAATAATCTAAAAATAAAATTTAAAAAAGCCACTTGGTATCAAAAAGAGTAAACTCTGGAACTGTAGCTAACAATGAAATGAAGGCTCGTGAGAAACACTGCTGTGAGCAGCCAAGGAAGATGTAAGTAAATGGAGGTGTGTCCCTTGTTCGCAGAATTAGGCTCCATAGTGTCGGGATGGCAGTTCTCTTCATATTGATCTACAAATTCAACCCGATTCCCATCGATGTCTCTCATGGTGGGGGTGGGGTGCCCAGAGTGTCAGCTGCAGGGAGAAGCCGCCAGGCCTGGGGAGAGATCTTGCCAGGCCAGCCACCAGTGGTCTGGCTGGCCGGTCTACACTGGCAGGCTAGTCCCCCAGGAGAGCCGAGAGCCTGCAAGTGATGGAGCCGGGTGATAGGGTGTGCACGCTATGGGAGCGGGGAGTTGAAGCAGGACCCACCAAAGGAGAGACGAAGACGGTCCTGACTGGCTTCTGGCTTCCTGCTAGAAGGAAAGTTCTAGCAGGAAGATTTGTGACTTGGTAAAATTGGGGGCAAAGAAGTGAAGTATCAGAGCAAAATTTAACCCTCCTCCTCCTCCCAAAATCCTTCCATGTGCTCCAAATCCCTGAACATGTCAGTTCCCCAATAATCTCCTCTAGCTGAGACAGAGAGGACCAAAGGGGAGACCAAGGAGAGCGGGGGGGCCTGTCTCCCTCAGTGCCGGCTGGCTCCTCTCCTTTCTGAAGCCTTCCATGAAATGGCATTGCCAGCTTGTCTTTACAGAGCAGCCAGTGTTTGATATCAGGTAATTACTGAAAATTAACCCTATCTAAAGGGATGACATAGTGGTCCATGCTATAATATGGATGAACCAGAAAAAAATTACACTAAGTGAGAGAAGTTAGCCACAAAAGAACGCATGTATGGTTCCATGTAGTGACATGTCCAGAGTAGGTAGATCCACACAGACACGAGGCAGAATGGCGGTTGGCAGGGGCTGGGCTAGAGAGAGGCAACTGCTTCCAGGGTCCAAGGTGATGAAAAGGCTTTGGGACCAGGTAGCTAGAGGCGGTGGTTGCATCACCTGTGAAGGTACGGATTGCCACTGCATTTTACACTTCCTAATGGTTCCTTTCATGTCATATGAATTTCCCCTCAAAGATATTAATTCAGTCAAGTGCATTAAATTCAGGTAGTCCATGCAATGTCTCCTCTTTCCCGTTCTCAAAGGACTTGCATTTGCATTCTGAAGCTGGAGGACAATCTACCGCATCATAGGCATCAGGGGCTGGACCCTTCCACAAAACTAGTGGCTTTTCCTTTTGAGTCCGACAGGGCCGAGGAGAGTAGCTGGAGATTTTACAGACCCTAGTGAAGTCGGCCCAAGCAGAGTTAAAGGCTGCTATCAGCAGTTCCCCCCTTTTCACCTGTGGAAACTGAGAGGTGGACACCGTGAGCAGTGTCCATGGCACAGGTGCAGCCCAGAGTCCAGCCCAGGGGTCTTGGCTTCCAGTCCATGCAGCTCTTCAACATGGAGCTTTGCTCTTCATCCCTGCAAATACCTGCTTGACCCGTGGCAAAGGCGGCCGTGTGAAGGCTGAGCCCTCCTGAGCCTGGCAGCACGTTACGTTCATCTGGGACTTCGAAATATGCCGATGTCTGTGATCCACCCAGGACCAATTAAGCCAGATCCCAGAAGGAGGAGCCTGGGGATTTTTAAAAGCTCCTCCAGCGATTCTAACATGGAGCACTAATTTCTTTCTCTTACCAGCACCTGGAATTTCAATCTTCACCCGCTTTGGGGACGCTAGCTCCAGATCACCAGAAAACACCAACATATGACCGACCTGACCAGCACCTGTACGGCCACCCAACCAGCCCCTAAATGACCTACTCAGCCACCACCTTCACCGCCCACCCAAACAGCACCTGAACAGCCCACCCAACCAGGGTCTGCCAGCCCACCCAACCAGAGTCTACACAGCCCACCCAAACAGCGCCTGAACAACCTACTCAACCAGCACCTTCACCGCCCACCCAAACAGCACCTGAACAGCCCACCCAACCAGTGTCTGCCCAGCCCACCCAACCAGGGTCTACACAGCCCTCCCAACCAGAGACGGCACAGCCCACCCAATCAGCGCCTAAATGACCTACTCAATTAGCACCTTCACAGCCCACCCAATCAGCACCTAAACAACCTACTCAACCAGTACCTTCAGTCCACCCAAACAGCACCTGAACAGCCCACCCAGCCAGTGTCTGCACAGCTCACCCAACCAGTACCTGCATAGGCACCCACCCAGTGCATGAACAACCCACTCAACCAGCATCTCCACAGCACCTCACTTTCACAGCCTGTGCAACCACCATCTGCACAGCCCACCCAACTGGCACCCGCATGGCCCATCCAACTGGCACCTGCACAGCCCACCTAACAGGCACCTGCACGGCCCACCTAACAGGCACCTGCACAGCCCACCTAACCGGCACCCACATGGCCCATCCAACTGGCACCTGCACAGCCCACCTAACAGGCACCTGCACAGCCCACCCAGCAGCTCTCTGCGACCCAGGCATAGTCATGCACTTTGTCTCACAGTTATGCCCCACGCACTTTGCCGGAGCTCCCGAACCTCCCTCGCTGTCCGCACTAACTGTTGGCTGGGCTGTTTTCCTGCCGGGATACAGAGCAGCCTGATATGCACAGTCTTCCCCTGCGTGGGACCCACCTGGTGCCCTCAGGTGTTCATACACGACTAGTCCTTACAGACCCTGAAATGCCCAGAGCCAGGGCACCCCCATGGCTGTGCCGAAGCCTCAGTTTGGTAGGCAGACACCGAGCAGCTGCCCCCGTGCAGGGTGGGCTGTGCCTTTGGTCAGTGCTGGGAGCAGGAGGGCAGGGTCCTGACTGTGGGTGTCCCAAGGCGCCTCAGCCCACATCGAGCTGGCTCCTGCAGTGGCCTTGGGCCGACCCATCCCTCAAGCCAGAAGTCCAGAGCAAAGGCAGTCGCCCCACAGAGAATACAGTAAAAGCTTACTGAAATATCTGGCTGCGAAGGTCCTTCTTCTGCTGGAGGCTGTCGGCAGCATGACGGAGCTGGCAGGCTGCACAGATGTCTTCTCTATCCTTGTTCTAAAGAACCAACCGCATCCTCAGGCAGACAGGCTAATTCCTGTTTTCCAGTAACAGGAGATCAGCATGTATAGAAAAGAAATATATTTAGAATGCCCTTTATCTGTGTTCTTGGATCTCGAACAAGGAGCCTCACTGTAAGGGATTAGTCCCTTGAAATGAGTGTACCAGGGGTCTTGGATTGGTCTTGGACAAGTCACGGGACCCTGGGTATCAGTTCCTCAAATGTGTAAAACGGGAACAGTAGGGACAACCACTGCACAGAGTGGACCTAGGATCAAGGAGACAGCAGGAGTAAGGGGCTTTGCAAACCGCAGAGCCCTCAAATTGCGGGGGCTGATACACGAGGGGCCTTCAGAAAGTTACGGAAAATGCCTGCTATGAGAAAACCATGCATGGATCTTCAATTGTTTTTGCAACAAAATACACCGTGCTTTAATTCCATTTGCCACGGACCTTTTGAAGGCCCTTCATGTACACATGTATTTTTTTCGCTCGATGAAGCTGATCTAGATGTAAGGGGAGCTGTCTTTTCAGGGAGTCTAGAAAATGTGCACGGAAGCACTGCAAATTTGCAGGGTGACTTCCTGGAGGCATTTCTGCCCCTCCTCTGGGCTGCACAGAGTCCTGCTGGGAGGGAAAGGCAGTTCTCACTCACAGACGGAGGGATGACACCGGGGGCACTCAGTGTCAGACTTTCACCCTTGTGCAGCTCAGGGTGCGGCAGCCTTATACCCACCGAGTGTCTGTTTTCTCTTTGCTCAAAAGAGGATAATAATACGGTCAGGTAAGAAACTCGCAGTTACAGAAAACAAAAGAGTCAGCTACAGTTGACTTTAAAAATAAGGGCTACTTACTGGGCTCTTTTAGTGGGATGGTTTTTATAATATGGACTTCAGGCATGGTTGAATCCAGCAGCTTGACAATGTTAATCAAGTCTGCTTTTTTTGTTTCTGCTTTAACAGTTCTCCTATTTGCTTCGGAGTATCTGCTTCATTCTGAACACAGTTCCTTTATTGTTAAGAAATGGGACTAGCTTGTGGCATGGTGGGTAAGGTAGCCAGATTTCTCAAGGCTGAGTATGAGGTTTGAATCCCAGAACCAGTGGCTTGGAAAGCACATCAGAAGTGTGTGTGTGCGTGCCCAAATTCTCTAAAGGAGGGAGAACCGGAGAAGGGATCGTGGTGTGATCATCTCTCACAGGGGAAGGGGAGCTGCTTTCTCACTTTCCCTCTCTCTCTCTCTCTCTCTCTCTCTCTCTCTCTCTCTTTCTCTGGTGAGAGCATGCACCACCCCCTGGCAAAATTAAAAAAAAAATAGCTGGACGTGGCAACAGGGGCCAGTCCTCCCTCTTCATGTCCTGGAGCATCTCCTAGTGCACCCTGAGTGTGCCGGGAAGCTGCCCCTCCCTGCTCTCTGGTACATCCCAGCCTCATGGCTTGGTCGGCCCAGCCTGTCTCTGAGCCAGTCCAAACCAGTGGGATGTGCTGATTGGCCAGCACCAGCCTGGCCTCATCCCAGGGGCTGGGTGGGGTTTGTTCCCACAAGGCACTAGGGCAGGTGCAGGAAAGGGGTGGACTGGACGCTGGAACAGATGGCAGGGCACGGTGACCAAAGGGAGGGAAGGGAGACGGGCTCCAAACACACCTGCCCGCTGTGGATTGCTCTAGGGATAGGGTGAGAGAGGGGAAGAGGGAGGAGAGAGCTTGTTTGCTCCTCCCCTGGGACACACTGACTGCCCTTCATTTCTCTCCCAGTCTCTCCTGGGCCTGTGTCCTCCTGGCCAGGCCTCTGATGGAGCTCAGTGCTATCCAGGGCAGATGGCCTGGAAGACAGCTGGCTGGGCCTGTGTGTGCCCCTGGGCAGTCCCTGGCCTCCCTGGCTTCATCAACATCATGGGGGTGGGTGTGGGCTGCAGGGTTGCCCCAGGAAGGCTCCAGTGAGAGGGGATTTCTCTACAGCCCCCCCTGTGACCCCCATCTAGGCCTGTAGGTGGGTTGCCTGCCTGGAACACAGGGTCGGTCGGGGTGGCTTTGCTAAGCAGGGGGAGGAGGGTGACCTCAGGGGCTAAGGGGACAGGGGGGCTGCTCCCCCTACCCAGCGGGCCCTGACCTGCCCCTCACCTCCCTTCCTCTCCAGGGTTCACCAGCAGGTCCTGCCCGCTGAGCTCAGGCAGCAGCTGGCCGCTGGCGGGGCAGGCATGCAGGCGAGGCTGGCCGGCTGCTCTGGGGATGACTCAGCCGGGCTGGCACCGGCCATGGGGCAGTTGGCTCACCTGGTGGGCTCTGGGGACAGGACCGCATCACCCCGCCGTGGGCATTCTTACTAACGAAACCGGCACTCGTTAGACACCCACCGATGACCAGTCGCCGGCCCCTGGCCGCACCCGGAGGTGGGTATTGCAGTGGGACGGTGGGGCACCCCAGGTCACAGGGTTTAACGTGGTCAAGGGGGATGGACACCCGGACGCTGGCGTGGCCCTAAGGTCCCAGAGGTCCTGGGACTGTGTGCACCCCAGAGCTCCCTGCGTGAGTGTGAGAGCAGGGGCCGACCCCCGCACCCCGACTGGCTTCAGGGCGCTGCGGGTCCCCAGGTCGGCGGGCTGGGCGCTGCTGGCTGGGGTCTGCTCCCCTGGACCCCGGAGCCGGTACCTCCGCCTGCACCTCCGCCTTGGCCGGCCACAGCCTGCCCGGGAATCCTTGCTCCCGGCCTGAAGCGAGCGCTCGGGCTCTGCTTTCCTCACCCCGCGGGCGCCCTGGCCCTGCCCCCGGGCCCCATGTGACGAGCGAGCGGGCATGACCAGGCGGATGCGGCCCGGGCTGAGCATCGTCGGGCAGCGCTCGGCTCTCTGGCTCCTCGGCACCTGTGGGGATGACGTGCTGGTGGCGGTCCCGGCCCGCTGAGGCTGCGGCAGGCTCGGCGCAGGAAGGTCCGGGGACTCAACCAGTCTGCCGGGAAGGCCGCCGCGGGGCGCCGAGGAGGGCCAGGTTCCCTGGTGCGCAGCGCCCCCTGCTGGGCCCTGGAGGCGCTTCCCCTCCAAGCGCTGGGCAAGCTCGGTATTGCTGCACCCTCACCTGGGGTCGCCTTCCTGGGGACACGTGCTGCAGGCAGGGTGTGCAGCATCCCTGGGGCCTTCTACCCGGAGTCCCCAATGCAGCTGGATTCCACACGGCCGGCCCAGCCCTGTGGCCTCGGTGTGGGGAGAACCCTGGGGCCTAGAAGTCCCTGTCAGGACAAGGAGTAAGGGACGGAGCCGCTTCCCAAGGATCTGCCACCTCTCTGCCCCTCCCCATTGTAGAGTGACCACAGGGGTCCTGCTGACTCAGGTCCACCGGAGGCTGAGGTGGGTGAGTCATGGAGCTCTCAGCGCAGTCAGGGCTCACGGGAGCGCTCCCTGCTGGGCCCTGGCCAGGGTGCTGCTTCAACCCCGGGAAGTGCCTGCGCACCCTCCTCCAGCAGCACCTGCCAGGGCCGCGCTGGCTCCTCACACTGGGCTTCCTGCCCTGGAGAAAATTCTCATTCACGGGGAACTAAACAGTATGCCGCTGCGATGGCCCTTACACTCCAGCGGTCCAGCGATTCGAGAGCCTGAGTGCCCCCATGAGTCTAAAATCCAGGTGGCGCAGGGACAGGGACTAAGGCTGCCTTTAACCCTGAGCGTGTGGGCCCTGGGGATATGGGGGCCAGTGGCCAGGCTGTGGCTGCCCATGGGGTCCCTGCTGGGGCCTCCCAGGTGACTGGGTGGAGACCCACCAGCCTGGCCAGGAGGCTGGAACCAATGAGCATCGGTGGGCCCACCGGCTCCTGGGGGTTGGGGTCCTGCAGAAGAAAGGCTCTGTGGTCTCCCAGAGTGGCAATCAAGGTGGTCAGAGTCCTTGTAGGTTGCTGCTCAACGCCACAGGGCCCCAGCAGCCATAGATTCTTCTAGAACCACAGCGTTGATCATATACATACAAACACACATTATATGCACACATATATTTATACACATATATGTATAAATACACATATTTCATGTACATTTTAAAAAGAATTATTAATTTAATTATTTTATTATTATTATTATTATTATTAATTTGACTGGAGAGAGAGAGAAGTGAGAAAGCAAGCCACCAAGTCCAAGACTTGAACCATGGTTGGCTATGCAGGAGTCCAGCACCTTAACCACCATGCCACATCCTGGCCCCAACACACATGCATTTTTAACAGGTGTGTATATTTTATACCAGAGGGTACAGGCACACGTGCACAGCAGAGAGAGGAAGAAGGGAGAGAAGAGGTACCTCCAATGGGTCCTGGTCACACTGCAATCCTTTTTTCTCCAATCCTCCACCCTGTCAGGGTCCTGGGCATGTTTTCCTAGTGGCTAACCTAAACCCTGATCAGACAGACACGTAGGACCCGGCTTCCTCTGCGAAGCTTGCAGCTGCTGCGCTCTGTGTGGGCCCTGTAAGCCACTTACTAAGAGTTCTGCAGATACCAGAGACAGGGAGGGAGGAGGGTGGGAAATGGGAGAGGGTGAGAACTGGGGGCCATGGATATATATATGTATGTATGTATATATATATGTATGTATTCTAATTTCTCTGGATATATGAAATGAGAAGTGGAAAATTATTTGTTGACTATAACATGTATGACTAAGCCACTGTACAGTGTGTTCTGGATGGGAAATCGCATTTTGTATGCTGTGACGATGTTCAGAGAATGACTGTAAAATAAATAAATACATACACGTTTTAAAAAGGAAAGAGTTGTGGGGAAATATTTTGTTTGCTCACGCAGCGAAGCTGTCCGTGCTCCTGGGCGCTGTAAGCCTTTGAAGGCTGCGTACTGGTTTCTGTGTAAGCGTTTAAGCCACTGCTGGAGCGCAGGAAGTGTTCAGCTCCTTTTTGCAAAGGGCCTTGCATACTGGTAGAAGGAACCCGGCCCCAGGGACATCGCGCAGGCGCGTGGCAATCCTGACTGTCGTCGGCAGTGGCGACCACAAGATGGCGCCCCAAGCACACTGCTCGGTGGGCTGTTGCTCTCTGGGGCCTGGATCTGAACAGGTCCTTCAGAGGAGGGCTTGGCTGCAGGGCATCCAGCGGAGACACCTGGATAGCACCCATGCAAAACACACTTCTGAGAGGCTCGGGGCTGGGAC